GCAAAATGGACTCATCTCCTCAATTTATATTGATGGTCAAAATTTTTGCAGATTTTTGTCGTCGCCGGAAAAGAATTTGAAGACAAGCGATACACTTTTGATGAGTTTGCGAAGCACAAGGCTGGTGGGCGAATTCAACTTTGCATAGAATCTACATTTTCATTAAGAAAGCTGAAAATCTCCACGATATAACTTCAAGCAATAAACTTGATTAGAAATGCCGTTCGGTCAAGTGCCTGTGCTAGAAGTCGATGGGAAAAAACTCGCTCAATCTCATGCTATTGCTCGTTATTTGGCTAAGCAGTTCGGTAAGTGTTTCTCAATAGATTCCCAGGTGAATTATTAGCTGTCTTTTTTAAGGATACGCTGGGAAGAACGCATGGGATGAAGCGCTAGTGAATTCCATTGCTGATCAGCAAAAGGACCTCATGTCGGAAATTCGCCCCTACTTCAGAGTTCTGCTGGGATTTGAGAAAGGTGATTTGGTGAGTCTCATAGAGATCATCCTTCATTCATTACAAACGGATTACTGTATATGATATATATGTATACATAATTATAATAGTCTCTAAGGTGAGTTGTAAGGGTTTAGAGTGTTACTTCGCATATAAATTCGTTTTAGAATGCTCTGGGCAAAGATGTGTTTGTCCCGGCTCACCACAAGTTCTTCACATTCATTACGCCGTTCCTCAAAAACAACAAATCTGGTGAGTACTGAAAAATCAGGTCCTTCAACTCATAGCGATATTTCCCTATGTCTCTCCGTACTTCTGCATCTAAAAAGTCCAGGATCCTCAGCTAGGCGTGATTCCTCCATTTTTCATTTTTTTTTCTTTGTTTAAAGTTTCTGAAGTCACTCCAACTGCCTACCTGAAGAACCTCAGTTCCGCTGTTATTGCCCTTGCTGCCTTCCGTTGGCTATCTAACGGATCACTATCAAACCCTGAAAGCGTGTGGGGTTATCGCAGAACACGCCACTGGTAGACCGTTTTTTCTGAGAAGCACCATTTTCGAAGCCACCCATGGTCAATAATTCGTAAGATTTCACGGTGGAGATAAAAGACTCTTGTT